TTGTTCCATGGTACTCATGGTCTGTATCTTTCTCCTTCCTGTTGTTCCATAGTACTCACAGTTTGTATCTTTCTCCTTCCTGTTGTTCCATTCTACCCACAGTTTATACTTTCTCCTTCCTGTTGTTCCATGGTACTCACAGTTTATACTTTCTCCTTCCCGTTGTTCCATGGTACTCATGGTCTGTATCTTTCTCCTTCCTGTTGTTCCATAGTACTCACAGTTTGTATCTTTCTCCTTCCTGTTGTTCCATGGCACTTACAGTTTGTACCTTTCTTCTTCCTGTTGTTCCATGGTACTCACAGTTTATACTTTCTCCTTCCTGTTGTTCCATGGTACTCACAGTTTATACTTTCTCTTTCCCGTTGTTCCATGGTACTCATGGTCTGTATCTTTCTCCTTCCTGTTGTTCCATAGTACTCACAGTTTGTATCTTTCTCCTTCCTGTTGTTCCATGGTACTCACAGTTTATACTTTTTCCTTCCTGTAGTTCCATGGTACTCACAGTTTGTATCTCTCTCCTTCCTGTTGTTCCATGGTACTCACAGTTTGTATCTTTCTTCTTCCTGTTGTTCCATGGTACTTACAGTCTGTATCTTTCTCCTTCCTGTTGTTCCATGGTACTTAGAGTTTGTATCTTTCTTCTTCCTGTTGTTCCATTCTACTCACAGTTTGTATCTTTCTTCTTCCTGTTGTTCCATGGTACTTACAGTTTGTATCTTTCTCCTTCCTGTTGTTCCATGGTACTAACAGTCTGTATCTTTCTCCTTCCTGTTGTTCCATGGTACTCACAGTTTGTATCTTTCTCCTTCCTGTTGTTTCATGGTACTCACAGTTTATAATTTCTCCTTCCTGTTGTTCCATGGTACTCACAGTTTATACTTTCTCCTTCCTGTTGTTCCATGGTACTCACAGTTTGTATCTTTCTCCATCCTGTTGTTCCATGGTAGTCACAGTCTGTTTCTATTGCTACCTGGTTTTTCAGAGTACTTATGGTTTATACTTTCTCCTTCCTGTTATTCTATGATATTCTTCTGTCTGCACCTTTATTCTTCATAATTTCTATTGATGTTCATCACATTATATTCTCCTTCCTGTTATTCTGGAGTCCTCACAACTTGTAACTTTTTTCTTCCTGTTGCCACACAATACTCAAAGGGAAAATGAAATCATAACATTGTCAAGCTGACTTTTCATTAGACATCATATTTAAGATATTTTTGTTTTAACTGAAAGAAAATACCATTAAGTTTCAAATTAAATGCTAGGTATCTATTTTTAGTATCATATTCTTATTTACATCCAAAATATCCACTGGTGTTTATTTCACAAAAAAAATTAATATTTATAAAATGAACAGATAAAACGGGTATTTATCAGGTTTGTTAGTTTTGAAGCACAAAGTTGCACAATGGACCCTCTATGCTGAGCTTATTGCAGGGATGGAATCTTAAATATTAGCATTATAAGTCATTAAGTTTACCAATGAGCCACCAGTTTAAGAAGCTTGAGAAAATTTAACTTTCTGTGAGTGTAGGTACAGGGGTGGCAGCGAACATATAGAAATTTGCATTAAACATAAACCTTAAATTACACTTATGAACTTAGTGTTTAACCAACTTCTCAATTCAAGTAGTTTAAATTTTCTGTTTTTGCTAACTGTAGAACAAAGTTCAGGAATTTTACAAGACAATCTGAAACACAAACTGATACAAAAACTTACTTGGACTGTTCATACCACTCACTCTCCCTGTAAAAGAAGAGCACATATTCTTTTAGTAATGTAACAAACAAATGGTCAAGTTAGAGAAATCTCTAAGACTGAAACACAATATTTATAAACTGTGACAGCTTTTAAAATTCACAAAGTTGTTAGAGATCCAAGACTCATAAAAAATATTCAAATTCACAAAGTTGTTAGATCCAAGACTCATTAAAATATTAAAATTCACAAAGTTGTTAGATCCAAGACTCATAAAAATATTAAAATTTACAAAGTTGTTAGATCCAAGACTCATTAAAATATTAAAATTCACAAAGTTGTTAGATCCAAGACTCATAAAAATATTAAAATTCACAAAGTTGTTAGATCCAAGACTCATTAAAATATTAAAATTCACAAAGTTGTTAGATACAAACTCATAAAAATATTAAAATTCACAAAGTTGTTAGATCCAAACTGATAAAAATATTAAAATTTACAAAGTTGTTAGATCCAAGACTCATAAAAATTTTCAAATTCACAAAGTTGTTAGATCCAAACTCATAAAAATCTTAAAATTACAAAGTTGTTAGATCCAAGACTCATGAAAATATTAAAATTTACAAAGTTGTTAGATCCAAGACTCATAAAAATATTAAAATACACAAAGTTGTTAGATCCAAGACTCATCAAAAGTATTAAAATACACAAAGTTGTTAGATCCAAGACTCATCAAAAGTATTAAAATACACAAAGTTGTTAGATCCAAGACTCATCAAAAGTATTAAAATACGCATACAAGTTGTAAAAGATCCAAGACTCATCAAACATTTATAATTTATATAGAAACTGTTAGAGAACCAAGACATAAAAAATTAAAATTTACAAAGTTGTTATAGAGCCAAGACTCATAAAATATTAAAATACACAAAGTTGTTCACAACTAATGTTGACCTGAATCTATATCCAAACTTTGATGAAATCTCTTTCACAAAAACTTAGTCAATTAATGTTGACCTCGAGTTATATCCAAACAGTGACGAAATCTCCAATGTTAAAGATGAAATAAAAGATCTTTAATAGAACTGGTGGTACACAAAGAAATGTGTTTTTATATAATTAGTGATAAGTAATGTCAAACAGAACTCTAATACAAAATTTAATCATAAATATAAATATATATTAAAAGTAGAAAGTTTTTTTTTGGAAATTATATTTTCTAAAATGAGCTCCATTTAAAATATCGAACCCCCATCTTTAAAAATTAGGATAAGTGACGTACAGTAGGAACTGTACTAGAACATAAGAGTGGATAAGTGACGTACAGTAGGAACTGTACTAGAACATAATAGTGGATAAGTGACGTACAGTAGGAACTGTACTAGAACATAATAGTGGATAAGTGACGTACAGTAGGAAAGTTCCTACTGTACGTCACTTATCCACTATTATGTTCTAGTACAGTTCCTACTGTACGTCACTTATCCACTCTCATGTTCTAGTACAGTTCCTACTGTATGTCACTTATCCACTATTATGTTCTAGTACAGTTCCTACTCTGCATCACTTATCCACTATTATGTTCTTGTACAGTTCCTACTGTACGTCACTTATCCACTATTATGTTCTTGTACAGTTCCTACTGTACATCACTTATCCATTATTATGTTCTTGTACAGGTACTAGAACATAAGATGGATAAGTGACGTACAGTAGGAACTATACTAGAACATAATAGTGGATAAGTGACGTACAGTACAAACTGTACTAGAACATAATAGTGGATAAGTGACGTACAGTAGGAACTATACTAGAACATAATAGTGGATAAGTGACGTACAGTAGGAACTGTACTAGAACATAATAGTGGATAAGTGACGTACAGTACGAACTGTACTAGAACATAAT